CCCTGCACGGCTCCCCTGCCCCTCACCAGCCCCTGAGGGACCACAGCCAGCCTGGCCACACCAACGGGCCCTGGGGGAGAGGTGGGATGCTGCTCCCCCATCTCCTCTGTGGCGCCTTGGCTGCAGGGAGCCCCAAGGGTGTTGGGGAGGAGGATGGGTGCTATGGCATGCAGGCTCTGGCTCCATGGATTTAGGGTGGAAACTTCCTGCCTGGGCTGCATCCTTGCTGTGAGGGTGCAGGTGGATTGAGGATGTGGTGTTTTCACCCCAAAAGTCCGCAACTGCTCTTGTGGGGTCTGTCCTTTGGGGTGGCTGTGTTTGCTGTGGTCAGTGGTGCTGGCTGAGGTTCAGAGCTGATGTCACTCGTTTGTGGGGTCAAGGGATGCTGAGGAGCTGCTCAGAGCAGGGGGCCTGGGGAGAACCCCAAAAATACCCTCAGGGGAAAAAACACCAAGAAGGTGGGGGGGTCAGAGATGCATATACAGGGAATTTTCTGCACAGCCCCTCAAATAACATGTGTGGAAAGTAAATGAATCTCAATCACCACATTGGATCCTAGTGCTAATCAGCATTGCTGAGTTCATTTGCATTAGCTGAACTGGTTTAAGCTGGGGGACATGAGGGTCTTAGCAGGGGTGGGAGTGTGGTGTCCCACCTTACATGGCTGGTGGAACAGTGTAGGGGACAAATCCCTGGAGCTGAGTTCTTTCAGCCTTCAGACCCATCCCTGGCATGGTCGGAACAGGAGAGGGGCTTTTCCTGCAGCCTCTCCTACCACCCCAGTGCTGGGAGAAATGACTGTCAGCAGCAGGGACCCAAGTGCACACGAGTGGATTCAGGGTTTAATTCCTTCTTTTGGCTTATTCATCCTGGCTGTGCAGGAAACAGCTTTTGTTAGAGTTGTGTCTGCATGGGAGCAGTGTCCACAGGGATCTTGCTCTTGGCCAAGAACTTCCTGTGTTGTCTGTGCTGGGAAAATCTCCAGAGGGAAGAAATAACCCCAGGGAGGGTGAAGAGTGGACTGGTAGGGCTGTAAGGGCAATGGCACATCATCCCATCCCATCTCCTGTGCCCCCTACATGTGCGATGGCTTTTTGCTTCTTAGAAGCTTCTTGCCTCTAAAAACCCATCTCCAAGCACACTGCAAGCAGCAGCAGAGCAAGGCAAAGCTCATGGTGGGATTTATTGGATCCTGCAGGATCAGGCCATTCCCTTCATGCTCCTTTCCCTACAGCAGCTGTGGAGACGAGAGTTCCTTGTTGACTTTATGACGACCTCTGGGTCTCATTTTAATTTGCTCCCTTTAACGAGTGCCTTGCCTCAGGGGTGTGCTGGGGAGGTGTTGAGTGAGACAAGACACCTGGCAGAGGGCTGGGGGCCGGGGGCTTCCCACAACGTGAGCAGGCAAAGGGGAAAAATAGAGTCTGAGCCGTATCAAGTTTGGGATCATGGAGGAAAATACGCTATAGCTGCAGCGAGAGTGATTTTAGATGGATTACACAAATAAAGCGGCGATTAATGAGCACAACTTGTTGGGGAAGCCTATTTGTCACACTCGGAGAGCTCCCATCTAATTTTACTGGCTGCTCTTCAGTGCTCTTGCATTGCTTTTCATATGCCCTGGGCAAAACACATCACTGCTCAAGGAAAGGGCTCCTGCCATTCCTCCTCCTCTTCCCTCTCCTCCAACGCTTGCTTTGGAGGTCGGTGCTGCTCCCTGTGTGACACAAACCTCATTTATTTTGCAGCACCCACTCCTGCTCCCCATTATTTGACCAGAGAGCCCCTCATTGTGGGTGGCTGTCTCTGGGCAGACTTTGGGTTGGCTGTGGGTTGACTTTAGGCTGCTTTTGGGCTTGCTGATGTGGACAGCCATGCACAGCAAGCACAAACCCCATCCCTCAGCTGGCTTTCCTTGCAGTGTGCAGCTCAGACACTGGGCTTGGCTCTTCGCCCCTTCTCCTTGTGTTTTCTTGTTGACAAAGAGGAATTTTTTGGGAACAGCTCTGCTCCCTGATTTTACATTTCTAAGCTTGGTTTTGGCTGGTTGGGGACAGTGTCAGAAGGAGATATTTGAGTTGACTGGTGTCCAGAGCACAGCTGCAGCTGGAATGACATCTGCCTGCATTTGTTTGCTTTAAGACAAAATACATGTGGAAGGGGAAATGCGTTTTCATAAACCAGACTCTCCCTGGCTGACAAAATACGATGCTGAAATTTTCAGCATTGCTTTTCTTGCAAGGACTGTTTCTGGGCAGCCTGCTGGGGTGCCTGGCACCCTCTACCCACTGTATTGAGAGGAAATCCAGCAGGGAAAGGGTGATGGAGAGCAGAGGGGGTTATGCTATTGTATTGCAGCAGTCAGAGGCTGGGGGTGTGCAGCAATCCCCAGCCCATCCCAGCATGCCTGGTGGGCTCTGCCTGTGAGCATCCTAGCTGTACCTGCTGGCATTCCCAGCTGAAAGTGAGAGTTATCCCAGGTGGCATTGTTGTCCCACCATGTGTTGGGGTCCTGGCTCTGATTTTGGCCATACAAACCACAACCTGGGTTATTTTCCTGGGGCTTTTTCCTCTCCAGGGAACTGCTGGCATCAGTTGGACAGGGATGGGGTTTGGGAACAGTCACAGTCATCCCCACTCGAGGGGAGAAACTTCATCCTACCAATGTGCCTGAAGATGGGGGAGGCATGAGTTCAGGAAACACCAAAATCTTCCAGGTGGAGAAATGTGCTGGCTAAGGAATCATAAGGGGAGAAAGGGGGATTTTGTCACTGGGGAGTGCAGTACCACTACCACCACCCATTCCCCACTGGAGGAGGGGAAGTGAATTTTAACACCCCCTTGTCCATCCCTTGCCATGAAGCCAGCAACACAGAAAAGTTTCCCCGTAGCTCCCCAGCCTCCTGCTGCCAGGCTTGTTGGCATGCGGGGCCACGGGCTGAAGCTATTCCAGGCGCGCCTGAGCCGTGCGGTTTCCGCCGCCGTTAACAAAGCCCTTTGATTGCAATCCTCACGCTGTCATCCACGCCATGAAGCCCTAATGTCTGATGTTTTTGTGCTTTTAGGCATTCGTATGTTAGATGGAGATGTAACAGATGTTGTTGAAGCGAAGTCGCTTGGCATCAGACCCGATTACATTGACATTTACAGCGCGAGCTGGGGGCCAGATGATGATGGGAAGACAGTTGATGGACCTGGTCTATTGGCCAAACAGGCTTTTGAGCAAGGCATTAAAAAGGTGTGGATCCCACAGCGCCCAGACGCGCTCGCCCTCCTCCTCCTGTCCCGGGGTCTGGTGTGGGGATGGGCAACTCAGCCCCCGAGGCGATGCCAGCACTAGGGCTGGGGCGGGGGGAGCCAATCATCTCTGATTTTTCCTAGTTATCCCCTAAGAGCTCCAGTGGATTTGGTGGCCGAGGGTGGTGACGGCGGGAGGTGCCTGTGGTGGTGGGACCCCTCGGCACAGCCCTGGCAGAGCAGGGAGGACCCAGGTTGTGCAAAGCTCTGCTGGGATGGGAAACCCAAAGTGGTTCTTGGGGGGTAACTTTGCACCCCAAAATGTCCCCCTGGATGCTGGTGTGGATGGAAACAGCAGTATCCCAATCCCCAGTATGTCCAACCATCTCCTCCATGCTCTTTGGGCTCCTGGTATCCTTTCCCAGGGGCCTCAGTCACGTTAAGCATTTCCCTGGTTTTCCACCCAGAACAAGCGGCTGGGGAGGGACATGGGTGTTGCCACAGGGTGTGACAATGGATTGTTGTCCTTATTTGGCCAACATCACATATGATTGACAGCTGTCAATCCCTGCTGGGGATGCCCTGGCCCATTCCTGTGCCCCTTCCCTTTTTGGGTACTTTTAAAAAATGCCCAGTATTGGCTAAAGCATTGGGAACAAGGCCTTTTGGCAGCTTGGTGGGCGCTGTGGGTAAGTGTCACAGTGGCTCAGGGCTCCACAGTGGCTGTTCCCTGGGTGCTCCAGAGAATCTGGGGGTGGGATTCCATTGCCAGCAGCCCTGGGTCAGGCTGTGAAGCCCCCACTTCAACCTCTGCCACCACTCCTTCCTCTGCTGCTTCTTCCCGCAGCGTGCCGGGCGTTGGGGCGGCCTCTTATCTAAAAATAGGGTGGAGTGCTTTTCCCACTGTTTACTTGATTTCCTGCTGGGGCGGTGAGCCTGCCGAGGAATCCATTGAAGTGCCGGGCAGTTCACGCCGTGTAAATAAGGGGAACAAGCTGCTTTTTAGACCTTATTTTTCCATGCAGGAGCAAACGGGCAGCAGCAGGGTACTTGCCTAGCACAGCCCCACTGTCTCAGGATGCTTGTTTTTGCCTCCCAGGGGACACCCCAGTCCCAGCACTGCCACCCCGTGTTTGCAGCACCCACTATCCCACATGCACAACTCGTAATTGCCAACTCCATCTCCTTAAATAACAAGGAAAGCTGCAAGCAGATAGTTAACTGCCACCTTTAGCCCGAGCAAACAGCTGTAACCAAGTTATAAATCCTTAAAATTGAGTTTTTAATGGAAACATTAAAATAACCTTTATCTATTAGCGATAGGACTGCGCTGGGGTAATTTATCATCTTGTTTCTTGTTCCTCCAGCCACACTTTATTAGTTCCCAAGCTAACGAGGGAATATTTATCCTGGTCATTCATGGAGTGCTGTTGGGCAAACACCCAGGCCCTGCAGAGCTGCGGAAGCAGGAGATGCTGTGCATCCCACAGCCAACCCATGAGCTGCTGGGGTGAGCTGGATCAGCCCCAGCTTGGCCAGGGAGGGATTCCCTGGTTTAAATGATGCCCAGATTCAGGTTTTATAGCAGCCAGGAGCCCTTCACTGGCATTGCATTGTCTTAGAAAGGTGGCAAATTAAGAAGCTGGATGTTTGGGGTCTGCTTACAGAAATCTTGATAGTTCCTTGTTTGAGAGCAAAGGGAAAGAATGGATTTTTCCAGTCTGAAGGAGCTGCAATTGTGGTGAGCTCTTGCTCACCAGGAAATGCTGTCAGGTGTTGGCCGTGTGTGCATTGTTGTAGGGTCATTCATGTGCCTGCTCATGTCCTCAGGTGACTGTGCTGTCTCCAAACCCACTTTCCCCCAGTGCAGCCCTGCCTGGGCATCAGGGGATGTGGGTTTGGAGCAGGTCTGAGCCTTTCTTGGGTCCCGTGGTGCGACACTCAGGTGAGGGATGAAAGGGAGGTCTGGGCTCCCAGTCTCCTGATCCCAATCAAAATCATTGCTCCATCTCCAGATGCTTGGCCAATTTTGTTGGGTTTTATTCCTCTGATTAGTGATTTGGGAATGCTTGAGTTGCAGGCAGTGGGACCCATCCTTGGAGGTGTTTTGACTTTGGTGTGGGTGAGCTGGACAGTCGCTGTTTGCGTCGAGTGTGTGGGCTGGGACGATGCCTACTTGGAGATCCAGGAAACCCTGGAAAGTGGGATGGGAGATGCCAGCAGCAGGCTTGGTGGGCTGGCAAGCTGGGTCGAGCTCTCTGTGACGTGGAGCAGGGCAGTAATTCCCTTGGCAATTGCACTTTTTCTTGCAGAGCTCCAGACAGCTCTATTAATCTTTGCTAGGGAAATACCCACCCAGTTTTGCTGGGAGGCAGCCCAGATAATGAAAACTTTCATAAAGTAAGGAAAGAGCCTGACTTAGACTGTCTATCCAGAGGCAGGGTCAGCTCAGAAAGCCTCTGCTCCAGGAGGGGGGCGAGACAGGTAATAAACCTTCCCGCTCCCCCCGGCACCTAAAGCCCACAATAAATCCCGGTGAATTCCTCCGGAGCAAAGCTGCTTTATTATTATTATTATTGTTGTTATTATTATTTTTTGCGGAGGAAGCTGCCACAGAGCAGTGGGAGGGAGGCAAACAGCAGATCTGCCCAGGCGAGCACTGAGATCTCTCCGTGGCAGGAGCAGCTGCGGGGAGGACGGGGCTGCTGCGCTGCTCCCGCGCCTGCCAAGCCCGGCAGCCCCATCCTCCCCGGAGAGCTCTGCCTCACGGGGCACGGAAGAGACCCAGCCACTTCATTTCCTGCCCCTAACCCTTTTGGCTCACCAAAAATCCTTCTTTTTAGCATGTTCACCTTGCTGTGAACCCCCGCAGGGCTGGGTTGTTCCTGGGTGTCCTGGCAGTGGTTGGATGGAGGAGTGAATGGGGCTCATTCCTGGGGTGTTGGCTGCTTTAGGGCGCCCTTGTTGGCACCACAGCTGCTGCTGCCAGGTGTGATTTTCCCCTGGATCCAGGGAGGTCTGGGCAGCAGGCACATCCCTCCCACTCCCCAATTCCCAATGGGGTCACAGCTGTACCCTGTGGGGATGGCTCCATCAGAGGTTCCAGCCAAGTGATGAAGGGGAGAGAAAAGGGTGGGAGTTAACAAATAGAAGACAAGCAAAAGAAACTTTTAAGGATAGGCTGGGAGAAGGATTCTGGTGGTTTGAGTGGTTCATGAGTGGTTTTGTGGGCAAGGGAGATTTGGGGTTTGGGGGTTCTCTGCCAATTCCTCCTGCAGGGCCATCCCTAAAAGCACCCATGCTGTGGTCCAGGGACTTTAAATACCCAAGATGTTTTGCCCCATGGAAAATGCCAAAATCCTGTTGCTGGATTTTGGGGAGTCACTGCCTGTAACCTGGGACTGACTGAGCCGAGAGGCGCATTGTGGGGACTGAGGGAGGGGGCTGAGTGCTGGGCAGGGTGGGACCCATTCTTCCACCCTAACCAAACACCCAAAAACCAGACATACCCCTCCTCCCCATGCCAAGATCACACCTCATCCTGGGCAAACACCTCCTCTAACCCCCCACGCTCTCTGTGCCCACAGGGTCGCCGGGGACTGGGATCCATTTTCGTCTGGGCGTCGGGGAACGGCGGCAGAGAGGGCGACTACTGCTCCTGTGATGGCTACACCAACAGCATCTACACCATCTCCATCAGCAGCACCACTGAGAATGGCTACAAGCCCTGGTACCTGGAGGAATGTGCCTCCACCCTCGCCACCACCTACAGCAGCGGCGCGTTTTATGAGCGGAAAATTGTGAGTTTTACCCCAACCCCCAGTGGGGAGCATCCCCCAGGGGTTTTCTGCGTGGCTGGGCTGGATGATGGCTCAGTTGTAAGAGCTAGGCTTTGCCCTTAGCCTGCAGTGGGTTTTGCTCTGCTTTTTGCTCAGGGATGTCATTATTTCCCTGGTGAAAGGGTGGAGGTTTGCTGGGGCAGTGCCCGTGCTGGGAGCATTTTGGGGGCTGCAGCTCCTCTCTCCCAGGTGACCACGGATCTCCGGCACCGCTGCACCGACGGCCACACCGGCACCTCCGTGTCCGCCCCCATGGTCGCTGGCATCATCGCCTTGGCCTTGGAGGCAAAGTAAGTGTATCCTGGTCAGGAGAAATGTTCCCACATTTAGCACCTGCTGAGCAACACCTGAAAGAAACAAGGTGGTTTTGTTTCCTCTAGAGTGACCAAAATGACAGAGTTGTTTTAAATCGCTCCTTGCTGGCAGTGTTGTTGTCTGGAATCTGATCTTCCCACAGGTGTTTTATTGATCTAATTCTTCATGTGTTGCCATGTGTTGCAAAGTTTGGGGTGGATGACATCAGTCAAGCTTTTCAGTAGGTGCACTGAAACTGCTGACAGCTAGCTCCAATGGGAGTTTTATAAATACTTTCCAGGAAAAAAAAAAAGTCAGAAAACATCACAGATATTGGGAAATGTCGGCAGAAGTGATGGTTTTCAGCAAGTGTTGCATTTCTGGGGGAAAAAGACTGCTTTTTCATAATGTCAAAAACTCACAGAACTTAATTTTCCGTAACACACCCCTGGTTCAAACAAGCTGCTCTTTTCCTCTTGTCCCCATCCCAATCCCATCCTGGTTCCATCATGGTCCCCCAGCCCAGGAAGAGCCTTTGGGCATCCCTGTGTTGCTTCATGGAGTGTCTTCTCATGAGCTTATTATTATTTTTATGGAGTGGAAATAAAATAAAGGCTGGGAATAAGAATAAGCCTCAGGGCAGCGCCGCACTCTCATCCAGGGATGGTGATTGTGGCTCCATTCCTCCTCGTCTGGTTTAATCCCAACACCCAGGTCGGGTGAGAGCATTTCCGGAGATGCAGTTTTCATTACAAATATATTAAAAGCTTTAGATGTAATTTTTGAATAGTTTAGCTGAGGCATAAACTGCAACATTAACTACCAGAGCTTGGTGCTCAGGCATTCCATTATGACAAGAGAGGATAAATTGAATTTCTTTCTTTAAATGTTGCTCGAGAGCAATATAAATCCCAGCTCGAGAAGCTGAACAACTGACTGTAAGTAAAGCAAGGAAAATTCTCCAGCAATATCCCTGAGCTGGGGTCATGAGGGGGCTCAGAAGCCCAGAGCACTCAATGTCCACCACTCTGAACACACAAACCCCGCCTGGGGAGGTAGAGGCGATTTGGGTTTAATTTTTCTGTTTAATGAACAACCCAGGTTTTATTTCCAGCAATTTTTTGCTGTTATTTCTCTAAAGGGAAGGTTTGCTCAGCATTGTGTATCAGTGAGCTGCTGAGCCCACTATCCTGCCTCAGCTTTTCTCCCTGTCACCTTCAAAAAAATTGAGAAAACCTTCCTTATTTGCTTCATTTCTACCCTAGAGCCTGAGAGCTAAACGGCCTTACCCAGGAGTAAATCCTGCAATTCTCATGGGCATGTGGCATCCCTTCCTGGGGCTCACCACACTGCTCGGGCTCCGCAAGTGGTCAGCATTTAAATCACAATTTCTTGCTTTTTTTTCAAGCAGGAAAGAGCAAAGGGGGTGGCTGGTGTGTTTTTGTTATTTTTTAACTCAGTGGGGTACCTGCTGCTGCTGCACCCCATGAGCCACGTGTCATTGCAGCCCCCTGCTCACCTGGAGGGATGTCCAGCACCTGCTGGTCAAAACCTCACGGCCGGGGCACCTGCGAGCGCCCGACTGGAAAACCAACGGAGCAGGGCATAAAGGTGAGAGGCCGTGGGGATGGCAGGGCAAGAACAGCCAGCCAAGGGAAAAGAAAGGTCTCCTGAGCTTCATTTGTGGGGACAGTTCACTGTGGGTAGCCACTATTGGGTTCATTCCTACCTTCAGGCTGCTAAGTGGAGGGAGGAGAGGGCAGTAATTCATGGGGTGAGATGCTTGGAACTCTTACTTGGTGGAGATTTGGAAAACTTGTTTGGTGGAGACTCTCTTGAGCTGCAGAGTTTCTTGCTACTCTCCTTGGGCTGCTCCCAGCCATGGGTTTTCCATGGTGTCTGTGTGGATTTGGGGTGTAACTTGGCCAGGGTGATGAGCTCCATATGCTGAAACACCTCATACCCCAGTGGGGTCAACTCCACACCTTCCCTGATGGTTGGAGGATGCTCCACCAAGCACTGAGGAGGAGCTCCTGACCCCTGCTAGGCAGGCTGAGGGTTTCTGAGTCTTCTCTCTTTCCAGTTAGCCATCTATATGGCTTTGGGCTGGTGGATGCTGACGCTATTGTGGTGGAAGCTAAGAAGTGGAGGATGGTCCCTCCCCAGCACGTCTGCGTGGGAAGCCTGGACAGGGTGCCCAAGTGAGTGTTGTGGGGTCTGTGCATGGCTCAGTGAAGTGCAGGTCCCATTAGGGCTCTCTAGGGCCAGCTTTGATAGTGGATGGGGTTTTTTTTCCCTTTTGCAAGATTTTGCTTCCCAGATGAGTGATCAGCAGGGAATTTTTGAGGGCTGACAGTGAGAGATCAAACCCACCTTGCCTGCTGGGTGTGTCCTGTGTGAGCAGTGATGTGTTGGTCTCTCCATCCTTACACTGAACACTTTGTCTTGATGGAAGACATCAAAAACCGGTGATTTGTTGCAAAAATTACCAAATTTCTGGTGTCTTGGTTCTCTTTGAGTTTGACTTCAGGCTCATTCCAGCTCAGGTTCACATCTCATCCTTGGTAGGTCAGTCCCTCCTAGGTGAAGAGTGGGATCAGGGATCTGACCAAGTGACTCCTCATTTACCAATGCCTGGCGGTACAGCAAGAGAGTTGTTAATCAGAAAAGTCTTTTAGAGACTTGCATATGCAAAACAGGAATGAGTGCAGAGCCAAGTGTGTTCATGAAGCTATTTATCTGATACAGACACTAATTACAGCCCAAAGTGGAGTGCTGCACTCGTAATTATAATAAAGCAGCGCCCTTGCAGCCCATAAGGCATAGATCTTCGAAGCACTTCAAACTCATCTGGTTACTATCCAGCAATTCAGCAAATTCCCCTGCTAGGACACTGGGAATTGCAGTGGCAGGTAAGATAATTTTTGCTGTGAAGCAGCAGGAGACCAGGGTCTAATCTAACAGGGCGACCATGCCAGGGAGCCAGAGGCACTCTGTCCCCATCCTGACGCCATGCCCTGTCCCTGGCAGGTACATCCGAGCTGAGCACGTGCTGCGGGCCAGCACCCTGAGCAGCGCCTGCGCCGAGCAGCGTGACCGGCATGTGCTGTACCTGGAGCACGTCGTGGTGCGGCTCAGCATCGCCCACCCGCGCCGCGGGGACCTCCAGATCAGCCTCATCTCCCCGGCCGGGACACGGTCACAGCTCCTGGCCAGGAGGTGAGAGCAGCCAGAGCCAGGGCCTGTCTGGGCTGGGCAGCATCCTCCTCTAGGGGGGTGCTGTAAGTTTTCTTGGGTTTCGGGGGAAGGTGGGAAGCATGCGCAGGTTTCAGCTGCAGGGGAGCTTTGTGCAAGGTGTGTGCATGCGGGGATCCCTAAAATCCTCAATTTGGGATTTCAACCCATCTCCCTTTTCTGAAAAATACAACATCCAAAGTCACATTTCTTGGTGTGTGGCATTACCGTTGCAGGGTGTTTGACCACTCCAATGAAGGCTTCAAGGGCTGGGAGTTCATGACCGTGCACTGCTGGGGGGAGCGGGCGGCGGGGGAGTGGACCCTGGAGATCCACGACACGCCATCCCAAGTGCGCAACCCCGCCGTGCAAGGTAAGGATCCCCCAGTGCCCACCAGCTCCCAAACCCCTTTCCTGGCTGCTTCACTCGGCTGTAAATTTTGCTGTGAGTTTTATGGTCTCCAGCAAAACTGTATTGCCCAGATTTTAAAAAATGGGAATGAAAGGTTAGCTCTGAACGCAGGAGGCTGCCGGTCTGGCTGAGCTGGAAGCTGGTTTCCTCACAGCAGCAGCAGCAGTAGCAGTAAACTGGCTGCACCCGAGAGCCAGGTTTCCAAAATTAAACTGTAATGAGTCAAAACGAGGAAACCCAAGAGCTGTAATTGTTGTTTGTTTGTTTTGCTTCGCTGCTGGGACATCTGGCATGTGGGTTGGTTGTGCAACGGCGCAAGGGGACCATGCCCCTCGGGCTGCAGACGGATGGACATCCTCCCTGGGCTGCCACCACGCTGGTGGGGGGTGGCTGGGCTCAGCCTGGCCCCCTGCATGTCCCCAGCCCTGCCGTGTCCCCCTGCTTCCTTCCCAGCACAGGAGCCGTGTGGGCAGGATCCGGCCCCGCCTTGCTGGCTGGGGGCAGCGGGACGTGAAGCATCCTGCCTGGGGCTGGCGTGTGCTGTGGGGGTGTTAAATCCACACAATCATTGATAGGAAGCCAGGAGAATATTAAAAATTTCTCCCACGCTACTTTCTGGCGGGAGGTGCACGTGGGGGTGCGTTGCACTGAAAGTGTTTCTGTTTTCTGCCTTCACCCCAAATCTTTTGAACTTGGAGAGCAGCAGCAAAGCGCCCACAGAGCTGCTTTTGCCCTGGTATTTACAGTTTGTGGCTGGTGTTTCTGAGCCCCTCACAGGCATCAGGGTTTGGCAAAACAAAATGAAAACGAGCGCATTAAGTCATCCCCTCAAAAAGTCTGCACTGGGTTTGAAGAAGAGAGGGCACAGCAAGAGGAAAAAGAGGAAAGATACTCCCAGCTCGTAGCAGAAATGAGTATTAAATGTTAATTTAATACCTCTAAATTGGTTAATTTAATATAAATTAAATACTAAGAGTGTCATGTCGCTGGTACTGCTGCACCCCTACACCAGCCCTGTGCAGCCTGGGCTTTCCTCACGCAGGATATTTTAGATTTAAGGCAAACTCAATTCTTTTGGCAAAGGCAGTTCCCCAGCTGATGGCCCTTCGCAGGCTCCACACCAGCACTGCTTGGTGCAGCAGGTGTGTCCTCTCTCCCTTTGGGAGAGCCAAGGGATTTGGGTATTGCAAATTTTAAGCCCTTCCTGGAAACACAGGGATTAGGAGTTAAAGCCGAGCACACTGCGGGCATGAAGTGACTCGCATTGATGGGGAATTGGAAGAAAAACAGCGTTGGAAAAAAGCAGCAGCATTTTTGGACTCTCTCCCCAAAGCCACGTGGCTTGTGGAGGGTCTTGGTGTGGGTGTAAGGCCTTGGGGGGGTCTCACCAGGTGCACTACAGTGTTTTGGGGAATGCCAAGCTCAGACTTCTGTTGTTTTAAGCAAAGAGAGGGCTGGAGCAACAGCAGCAAGAAATAATCCAGTGTGTGCCGGGTGGCTTTTGTCAGACAGAAATAATCCTCTATTGTGGAGCTTTTAAAATTACCGGTTCTCTCCAGTGTTGGACTCGGAGACTGTGGTGATGCTGCAGTTCCTCAGATGAGTTATGGAATTAAAAATCCTTTGTAAGTGGCTTAAACAGCTGCATTTGTGTGGGCTGGAAGCTCAGGGGCTGATGAACATTTCTGGGTATTCACTGTTTGCTTCTGAATTGCTGTGCCAGTCCATCCTCCTCCTGCTTCCCCCAAAACCCAGTCCATCCAAATGTCCAGTCCATCCTCCTCCTGCTTCCCCCAAAACCCAGTCCCCCAAACAGGGAGGAGATGGGTGACCTTGTGTCTGCCCCACAGGGAAGCTGAAGGAGTGGAGCCTCATCTTCTACGGGACAGGCGAGCACCCCTACACTGCCCTGAGTGGGCCGCAGGCCCGGGGCAGGTCCCTGGAGGTGCCAACGTCGGAGATGGAGCCGTCCAGAGCCGCCTTCCTGCAGAGCCAGGTGGAGGTGGTAGAGGAGGAGGAGGAGTACGCGGGTAAGCCCTGCCTGAGCTGCCACCTTGTTCCCCCCAGAGTGCCCTGGAAGATGAAAACCCTGATAAAAACTGGGGGAGCCATGAGGCCTGATCCTGCCTGGGGCTGAGGCGGGCTGGGAGGAGCAGGGCCTGTGGCCAGCACGGGGCAGCAGCATGGTGAAATTAGAAGGTAGGAAAATGCCCCGTCCCAGCCACAAATTGGTGGTGCAGCTGTCTGAGGGGTAAAAAAAGCTCCTCTGCCCACCTTCCCTCCTCCAGCACAGGCAGGGGTGGGTGTCTCTGCTGCTCCCTGAGGAGCAGGTCCTTCTTTCAAAGCTGCTCCTGCACCAGTGCTCAGCCAGAGGATGGCTGGGTGGGATTCTTTCTGTAAAGGATGAGCTGCAGGAAAGACAAGCACCCAAAGCCATGCAGCTCCATAGCATTAAATTTAAAATATAGTATATATAGAATATAGAATAACATAGGGGAAGGGTCCAGGTGTCCTTTGCTCCTGGGAGGGTGTGCTCAGAGCATCCTGGCAGTGGTGCCTGGACGGTGCTCAGCTTCTTCCATACTGAGAGCTGGTCTCTGCCTCCTCAGGTCCGTGCCACCCTGAGTGTGGTGACCAGGGCTGTGATGGCCCCAATGCTGACCAGTGCTTGAACTGCATCCACTACAGCCTGGGCAGTGTGAAAACTGGCAGGTGAGTGATGGTGGTGGGGTGTCCCCATGGGGTCCCCAAGGTGACAGCAGCACCTTGCCTCAGGTCTCACAGCTTAGTGTGGGTGATAGATGTTTGCACAGAGAAAGTGTATGAGAAATTAAATGGGTGGAGGAGGTGTGAGGATCCCTGTCCTGAATTAGGGCACAGTGGGGTAGAGGACATGGAGCTGGAGAGTCCTGGAGGATCTTGACTACATAATAATGTTGGGGAAGAAGCTTTGGCTTCACTGGCTGGGATCACCCACACCCAAGGGACAGCCAGCTGAGCTGTTAGAACTGGGGCTTCCACTGGGACAGCACAGTGAAACTTTACCTACAGCTGGGACAAGAGATTCCCGTATTAGAGCTGTGACTTCCAAGACACTGTAAATCACAGAACAAGAAGTAAACGAGCTCCAATTGCTGCCCAGGCTGGGGGACACCCCAAACACTGCGGGCGAGGGGACAGGGGCGGTGCCTGAGGCGGGAGGTGACCGGTGCTGGCACCAAAGCCCAGTGGCACCGCTTCCCTCCCCAGGATGTGTGTGAGCTCGTGCCCCGCTGGGTTCTTCGGGGACAACGGTGCCCGGAGGTGCCGGCGGTGCCACAAGGGCTGCGAGCGCTGCGTCGGGAGGGGACCCAGCCAGTGCACGGCCTGCAAGAGGAACCTCTACCACCACCCCGAGATGGGCACCTGCGTGCTGCTCTGTCCTCCCGGCTTCTACGCCGAGGAACGTAAGGATGTTTATCATTGCAAGTTGCAGCATGAGGATGTGCTGGGGTTGCTTCTATTTTAAGCACTCTGGGTGGAGAACACACCTTGATTCTTGAGTATTGGCTTTGAATTTCCCTCTTGACACACTTTGCACGGTGGAGGGAGGAGGGAAACCTCTGGGTGTTCAGAGGGTGATGCAAAGCAGAGGTGCTCAACTTGAAACTCTTAATTAGAAGACTGTAATTAATGATCCTGGCTGCTTGCAAAGCATATTTTCCTTTTAGCATGCGGTGACAGATAAGGTCACCTGCAATAGCAGGGATCTGCTGGGGAGGGATGTGCCTTTCCACCCTGGGGAGCTGCTGCTGGGGTGCACTGGGGCTTTGCAGCTCCGGCTGCTGCGTGCAAATCACCGTCCGGATTTTATTCTCTCTGCTTTGCTTTGTTTTTTGAAAGGTCAGAAACGCTGTCTGAAATGTCATCAAAGCTGTAAAAAATGTGCCGGCGAAGCAGACAAATGTACTGCATGCAAAGAGGGATTCAGGTAAAACACCAGCACGGGAGGAGTTCATACCTGCAGCACTCATACCTGTGGTTTAAATTTGGGAAAACCGATGGGAAATTAGAGAGTGAATTAAGTTCAAGACCAGAGATCCTGCTTCCATGGTGCTGCAGCTCTGGTGCAGTGTGCTGGAGGTCTGGGAATTTAAAGGGGGTGATTAGCGTCTCTTTCTTAGCTGAAAACCGTGATTTAAGTTTAATTTCATTTTCTCCAGCTCTTTCCAGGGTGGTGGGTAAGTGCTGTGTAGAGCTGGTACCAGCCTGAGCTGCTTCAGGCAGGCTGAGAATGCTCCCTGCAAATGCAGAAAACCTTCCCTCAGATTCATCCATGCTGAAAATTTTATTTGATGTACCTGTTGAGTGGGGCTAGCACAGGACAGTGATTTTCCAGCACTGCAGGCAGGGCAGCCCTGACCCTGAGAGGGCCACTGGGTGCCACTGGTGCTGGCCCAATGGCATCTGTGGGACACAGAGCCCAGTGTCAGCACTAGGCAGAAGCTGTTTTCCATCCCCAATTGCTCATGGAAGTACCATCCTGTGGCAGTCTGCAGTGTTCAGGCACTGCAAGTGAGCCAGAGCTATGGTGTAGCAGTGGGGCTCGCTCAGACAAAGAAATTCCTGCTGCCAAAAGATTATCTACTCCCTCAGAAAAGCACAAGTGGAGGCACTTGTCAGACATAATCCACGCGGTGCTTGTTTTTTATTGTCCAATATCCTTTTAAGCTGGGACTTCAAATCATCCCTGCCACGGCGAAGCAGCACCGGCCCAGCCACGGCGCTGAACCAATTTCCTTTTATTCCAGGGAGCCTCACCAGTGCAAAAGGTCTTCAGGAGAGCCTGGCTGGCTGCCCATGGGAAAAAAAAAAATTTATTTCCTCCTGGATACTTAATTAAGGAACCGGCAGCTGTCCCTTTGGTCCAGGCAGGATTTTAATTTCTCCTAAAATGCTGGCTGGATTTCCAACACCTCCTGCACTGCAGGCTGAGGATGCCGTAGGACACTGGGGGATGAGGAGATGGGAATGGGCTGTGTTGAGTCCCCATATCCTGTAGTTTTGGGTGCAAATGTTCTCTGCTTTCCTGACAGCCTGGCAGGGGAGAGCTGTGTGCCAGAGTGCCAGCCTGCCATGTACCTCAGCCGGGAGCCCTGGCGGTGTGAGACCTGCCCTGCCAGCACAGGTACGCCCTTGGGCCCACAGCATCCCTCCTTGGCCCCACAGCATCCCTCCTTGGGCCCACAGCATCCCGTGCAAAGCCCCAAACCCCACTGCATCAGGTGCCAATCCCCACTGTACCACCCCGAGCTGAGGCAGAGTGTGCTTGAGGGAAAGCAGTCCCAAGTCTCCAGCATGTCCTGTGAGGTATATGTTCATGCTGGAAACGTTTTTAGGGGAGTTTTTACATTTTTATTAGAGCCATTTTTTATTTCTCGGTCTCCCCGAAGCCAGGTGCTTCAGTTTAATAAGGTTGTGGGGGAGGCTGTAAAACCCTCTCAGAGTGATGGAAGGTGGCTTTGCAGCAGATAAAAATGTCAGGCAGCTGAGGTGTGTTATCCTGTGTTATCCCATGTTATCCCAGCTGCCCCACGGTGCTGGGCTGCCTGCTCCTGGCCTCCCCCAGCTGCCTCAAATTGCTCAGCATTCCCTTTAAATCCTGCCTTCCTTGCTTCCTGCAAGTCCAATTATTTTCCATTGTTAATGTTTGCGTCTGCCCTCGAAATCATCATAGATCTGATGATAATATGATCTCTAGACAATCCATGTTCAGTGGCATGAACCTCTTCTATCATACATGGGCAATTGCCTTAGTCTAAATCCAAAATATTTATTGATCTTGTTGGCAAGGCTAGAAGGGAATGGGCTCTTAATCCCTGAAGAAAATTATTTCCCTTCTAATTCTTATTCCAGTCAGTGTGAAGGTACTCCACCACAATTATTTTTCCAGCCTTTTCTTTCCTCCTTTTCCTGCATAACCATTTCTCAAGCTTGGTGCGTGGAAGCCCTTTAATGATACCACCTCCATCACTGAGCTTTGCTGTCTGGCCACAACACACAGCATCAGAGTGGGGCCCTCTGCTTTCCCAGCTCCTCTCTGGAGCACTTTTCCCCTTCAGCTCCTCCTTGGCCCAGTTCAGCATCTTCTTTTCCACCCTGGGGAAATCCAAATCGGTGCATGCTTGGGATGGCCCAGAGGGGATTTTGATGTGCTCTTTGTCACCAAGCCCTGGTAGGCAGCTTTTGGCTCTGCAGAGAGACAGACACTGGGTCCTGGATGCATCTTTTGGGGTGGAAACTGAGTTTTTTGGGGTGGGAGCCAAGCACATGCGCGGGACCCCGTGGCACGACAAGCATCTCATTCATGAGCAAGACAAAGCCAAGCTGGTGCCCCCATCACATGTGGGGCTGTTTGCACTGTCTCCAAACCCACCCAGGTGTCATTTTTCCCTTTTCCCTGTCCCCCCACAGGGCCAGGTGAGGAGGACTGCACCCCTTGCACCCCCGAGGGCCCTGCACCCCACTGGCGCTGTGTCCCTGCCTGCCGTGAGGGTTTCTACCCCGCCGACAGCCACGGGCTGCCCAACAAAGTCTGCAAGAGGTACAGAACCACCAGAGCAAAGCCAGGGCTGGTGGGGAGCACTGCCAGCCTCGACAGGATCATGCTGGAAACAGCTCACAGCTTGATGGGAATTCAAACAGGTCTGAGGAAGTCAGGGCAGCTGTGGGGCTGGACCCCACACGCCCCTGCCCTGTGGATTTCAGAGCAGTGGAGCCGCACGCTCCCTGCCAGAGCCAGCCAAGGTGTCTTGGGGCTACGGTGGAAGGGGCTCAGCCTCAGCCCCAGGCTCTCTGGAGGAGGTGTGGGAGGAACTGCAATGTTTAGATAAATATTCCAGCTTTCAATTAAACCTGCTCCGTTGGCCCCGTGGCCAGGCTGGAGGAGTGTTCCCCACTCCCTGCCCGGCACGGGGCTGTGTGCGGAGACACGGAGATGCCGGGAGGCAACAATTTGCTCCCACTCTCTCCGGAGCTCTGAGCTTTAAGTGGGGAGTGGGAGTGGATTCAGCCTCATGGAAGCAAACATGAAAGGCAAGGATTAAAGATGACTTGGGAACACACAACGCTATCCCTGCCTACTGGGGTTTCACTCACCTGCACTGTTTCTTCATCCGGGAGGAACAAGGGACCAGCATCCCTTCCCAGAGACTTCAGACACAGTCTCCACAAGCCACTGTCCCCAGGCAGGAAGCACAGTGCTGAGCTCTTTACTCTCAGCAAATGGATGGGAGCAGCACAGGTTCCCTTTGCAGCTCTTTTTCTAGCTGGGATGGCTGGGACATGAGGTGCATGTCCCACTGAATCTTCCCAGAAGGCAAGAGCTTTTGGGATGTCATAGCTGTCACTGGGCATTGAGCTGGCCTCACCAAACTCAGGGCTTCAATAACATTTCAACCTTCAAATTTGCCATTCGCTACATCCTCTGGTTTGGTCTGGCTGTCACAGTGCCAGCAGATGCCTTTTGCTTGACAGCCCACTCAGGGTGGCCTGACCAGGGTGTTGGTGCTGGCTCAGGCCACAGCAAGGTCTCTGTCCCCAGGTGTGATGACCACTGCTCAGCCTGCGAGGGCTCCAGTGGAAACTGCCTCAGGTGTAAGGAAGGTTACAGCCTCCTCGGTGGCTCCTGTGTGACAAATGAAACCTGTACCAATGGTAAGTGGCAGAGTTGCTGACACTGTAGTGCTCTCCTGGTAGCGAAAATGGGAGGTTTTGGGGGATTCCCTTCACCATTTAAAGCTAAAAGTGCTGGAGCTCCTGGGCTTGCTGGGGCATGGCTGCAATGGGCTGGGCTCCGGCTGTGGGGGGCAGGTGGCTCACCTGGCATTGCTTCTGGATATCTGCCTGTTGCTCAAACACATCCAAGCACTTGTATTTCGTTATAGTTTAGTCTTGGGGCTAATTCTCCCACTCACTGCAAAGCTCCTTTATTCCTTCATTAAAACCATGTGAAAGATGCCCTTAAAAAGCGACTTCTTTTCAATTTTGTCTCCCCCAACACTGGCACAGTTGCTGTGCCTGTTACATGCAGTGTTTGTTTATTTAAAATGTTAATCTGCTCTCATTTTCTCTTGTTCCTCACCCCGGCCTCCCAGCTGACAAGACTTTCTGTGAGATGGTGAAATCAAACAAGCTCTGTGAAAAGAAGCTGTTTGTGCAGTTCTGCTGTCAGACGTGTCTTATGGCCGGGTAAAGTTCAGCGGCTGCATCCATCCAGGACTTCCACTGACTGCCAGCCCAGTTTTGCCAAATGTTTAGGACAAAAGTTTATTTTTTCAGCTTTGGGAGAGTTTACATGGTGCTGTCAAGCATTTGCTCGTAAGTTTGATAGCTTTAATATCACTGTCGGCGCGTTTCTATAGCAATATGTTAAGCAGAGATTGGAGCGTACCCTGAGTGATCAAGGCCTGGAAGCAGCAGACAAGTGGTGATATTAACACTCTCAAACACTCCTGGTGAGCAGGGACCAATGCATGATCCATGTACACACACTTGGTTCTTCGCAGGAACCCTACTGATCCGCCCGCCCCGAGCGGCC